TGCTGCCGCTGCTGCCGCTGCCGCCGCTGCCGCTGCTGCCGCTGCTGCCGCTGCGCTGCTGCCGTGCCGCCGCTGCCGCCGCCACCACAGCTGCCACTGCCGCCGCTGCCGCAACCGCCGCTGCGTTGCTGCTCTCTGCTACGTCCGTTATGCTTCCGCAAGTCACTTCAAACCAAACAGCCGCTACCACAGCCACTGTATGCAAGTGGTTGCGAAGCCACACTGCAGAGGCTGGCCGCCTCTATGGTAACTCGTGGGACGCACCACATGGCGCTCCCCCAGGCCCCTGGCAGCAGCGGCGACTTTCGCCAGCGACCCCTGCTTCACAAAAGACGCCGCGCGCTCCCAACCACAGCGCCGCAGGCCGCATCGCGCTCCCAGCAGGATCCTGCCTCGCCCCAAAAACCTGCGTCGGCCCCCGCCCCAAGGCCCCACCCAGCGGCGCAGCGCGCGCCCCGCCCCCCGACGCGCCGCGCACCTCCTGTCTCCCCGTGCCTGCAGCAGCGCGAGGCTGAGCGCCGCATCCGCCACGTCCTTGGGCCCCGCGTTCTCCGCGCTCACGGCAGCGTCGATGCCGCGCAGCACGCCCTCCAGGTCGCCCTCCACAGCAGTGGCCGCTAGCGGCTGCGCAGCCGCGGCGCCCGATGCAGAGAAGCCCCTGTGCAGGCGGCCAACATGCTGTATTGAAAAGTGCCACGGATCGGCGTGCGTACAGCACAACACAACATTTGCTGCCCGAGCTGCAGGGTCGCTGCAGGCTGGGTGCGTGCGAACAGCGAACGCGCGCGCATCCGTCCTATGATCCATCACGAGAGCGGCATGCCGTTGCGCACTACAGGCGGACAATGCCTTGCGCCAGCCCGCACCTGGTGGCCTGAGCTGTAGCGAGAACATTGAGCGCGCTGTTCGACCACTGCTGGGCTGAACTGCTGGCCGTGCAGGCCAAAGCAGGGGCCGCGGCTGTGCGAAGGGCCTCCGCAGCTCCACCTGCTCAGACAAAGGAGATGAGAATGACTTCTATGATCCAATCAGTTGCACTAGACGGGGCCGACTGCCTTCGCAAGCCATCAGCGATCTCGCTAACCCTGCGCGAAGATCCCTCACCCGCCGTGAGCCGCTGCAGCGCCCTCAGGACGAGTGAAGACGACCTCATCGTTCAGTCCGCGGCCAGCAGGCCACGGGTGCTGTCACAGATCACAGCTGTATAAGCAGGCAGCACTGCTACCTCCTAGCCCTCCTGAAGAAGTCGCTAGGGGTCTTTCAATGCTGCACATGTGAGACATTGTGTGCAGCGTGCGACCAACCTTGCTTGCGCGCCTGCGGGCCTGCCGTACCCTCCCGATGCTGACGCACCTGACGAAAATCTGCACAGTCCCAGCCGCTCAACTTGGAGCTGCCAAGGTGTTCAAGGGATGACATGGCAGCAGTAAATGGCCATTCGTGCTAGAAAGAGAAGGAGAGGGTGGCAGCTGCACGTAGGCGGCCGCGCTCACCCGGTCAACATGACAGCGATTTACATTGGATCAAAGCGTGCTTCACAAAGTCTGCATGACCTTCTTGCAAGGCTCTTTCGGATCACAAGCATCATTTCAGCAAAGGGCCTCCAGGGATGCTGGCCACAGTTAATCCAGTCGGTGTCATCCCGACGAAGCATGCCATGCCTGTTTGCCGCAGACGTAGGCTTCTGTGAAACCCGCCGGCGCGCAATTGAGCGAGGTGCCAGGCGGCGCCTCGCAGACTCACACGCTGCCACACCCAACCCAGCCCTTGACAATCCATTGGACACCGTCCATTGGACACCGACGAGGTGGTCACGGCTGTGGCCCAGCTACACGA